GGTGCCGGGCGCGGTGCTCGGCGGAGGGGCTGCCCGGGCCGCGTTACCTTCTGCCATTTCAGCCCAGCTCTTGCGTATAAGGGCTGTTCTCAAAGCTTACGTTGAGAATATATATCCTTACATGGAAACGTGCTATAGCCCAACAACGGCTCCTCGGTCACTTAAAGGGTATCAGAACTATTGGTAGATAAATAAGAGTTTTCGAAGAAAATCCAGCTGTGCAATTGAAATGAGCCATCACCACTGACGGGACAGTGTGCCCAGATCTGTCGGGCTTACTTGAGCTTTCTGAGCATAACAGACATTAAAGCATTTAAGATCTTTTTGCCTCCAGAATAATAGTTCTAAATTCTTTCAGTCATACAGTAATAGCCAAACTAGCTTATTCCCAGACAGGGCTAACAGCAGTTTTCCTTTCTTAGTTTCAAGTTTTCCTTTTGTGTTTCTTAATTGGAAGCTTTGACCCACCCAAAACACAGATTACTGCCATCGCTTTGATTTGGCATACAGGAGCAGACCCAAGACAAGATAAAATTCTATTTTGGTTTTACCAACTCCTTTATGTTAACAGATAACTCATAAACATAAGTCAAATCCTCAACTCTGTGTCCTATTCTGAAGTGCTTGCTGTTTCTAGCATCAACATTTTGTTATAAAAAGCAGAAATATGACAATACCGAGCCAGTAATACACCACTTAAGACAGAAGCTACATACTGATAGGCAAGTAACCAGTAATCGGTATCGCTATGCCAAAGCTTTTCTACATTCATGGTTCTGGGTGTGTGGAAGGCCCCACAGAACACACAGAAAAACCCAGCTCAAGAAACTCCACTTTGACTTTCATAGTCTGTAACAGCAGAATACAGAGACTTGGATGTTCCAAACTTCCCTCAAATTTTGATAAAGTTGTTGTCGTACTTCTGCCTTCAGGTGCAAACTTGGGATACTGAACTGAGCAGAACTGCAGTGCTCTACCTAACTACGTTTCAAAAAACCAAACCAAATGTCCACTTCTACATAGATGTTCCGAAGTGGTGTTCATCTACTGCTGATCATATACCAAAGATGAAAACATAAGTGAAAACAGTTAGCAAGACAAAGTATGTATGAGGAAAGACTGAAAAGGAACTCGCTGTAAACATGCAAAGATAAAACCCACAGAGAAGCTTCATGATGTTTCTACTCTTTGAGAACTGATGGTGGCAAGAGGAATAAATTTCCTTCAGAATGATAATCAATCCATAAAACTAATGAGGTTAACAGTTACTAGGCATTATTAAAATCATCTGCCTGGTTATTGTGAAGTATTTGGAAATTAATCCACTGCAGACTTCTTGAATCTTGCAGTAGTAATTCTAGGCTACAAGAGATTTGAACGGAGCTTTGCTGTACTGTGCTGACAGCTATGAATAATTCCTTTAAGGGTAGCCATTTAGGAAAAAAAATGTTACTAAATTTATCCAGTATGGCAACATTTTAAAAAACAGTGTTTGAGATACGCCTTTTATATTTAACACAGTTAAAAGAACTGGTTGTGCCTAACATTTGCTTGAAGAAATATTTTAGAGAATAGAAACCTTAGAGCTATATAACTAGAACAGGACTCCAAAGTACTATTAAGAATACAGCTACATTCAAAACACCACACTGAGATGAGTGAAGATAAGGATTTGCTTTAGATGTTTATTAATCCAAGGAGATCTTCCATAATAGAAAAAACAGAGGCTTTAAATTTCCCACCTCTTCCTTTAGAGTTGCATTATCCTTGAAAACAGAAAGGGTAAGTGCAACTTCTAGGAGGAAGATCAGTTTTAAATTTGACATAAGTGTTATCACTGAAATTGATATATTGCATCACAAAATGCACTATCACCACCAACAACAATGCAAAATTGTTTTGCAATTTATATAAATACATTTCTTGGAGCAAAGGAAAGCAAAGTTCTAGATCCATTCTTAAAAAAGATGCTCCTTGCTAACCAGTCTAGCGACACATAAAAGCACCCTTGAAGTAAGACTGTATTCCTCACACCAAGATAAAATTCTTCCCTTGACTCATGACTTGAAAAATGTTACTGTTCCAGAAATGACAGTGGCACTAGAATTGGTGATTTTCCCCTCATTTTTTCAATATTCTTTGTACATGGAGCCTTCTCACTCATGCTCTGTTGCATCTTCTGCCATGAGGCAAAGCGTCTCATCCGTCCTAAAACGTTCTCTTACATTTCTGGGGATGTGTAACAAGATAAGCAGATACCAACAAGCAGATGTTCAGAAATGATTTATGTCAAACTGGGCATTTTTCAAGGTCAAGGAATGCACAGGAAAAGGCATGCTGTAATTATGTCTGTCACTTTCGTTCTACAAAAATAAAACCTTGTCTAGAGATATCTTGAAGCTGGAGCACACCTGTACGTGCTCGTGAGTTGCACATTTACAAAAAAAACCAAAACAGTTCTGCTATATGCACTTGGCCAGTCAGCTAAAGATTCAAAAGTATTACTGTGGTTCTCATACCACTACTGTAATGGATACTCTCATTCAAGGCTTAATTTTTTAGGCTTTTTCACATCAGGTGCAATATCCATCCTTTTAAGTCCACAATCTGCTTTAAAGTATCCCTTTGGTATTCGGCTAGGGCAACGTGGCATTATAGTCCTGGCTCAGTCTCTCACGTTAGCACTCTGTGCGCAGGGAATTCTATTTGCCGAAGAAAGGCAGACCAGAGAGGAGTGACTGGAAAAACCCATTACACCGGCCCAGAGAAGCGCTAGCGGTTGTGCAACAAATGGAAGGCAGAGCATGGTGCTGGTCAGCTCGTCAAGGAAACCCCAAACCACCGATTCCTGCTACTCTGCTGATGCAAAAAACCACACCACACAAACCAATTTTCTGAAGACTGCATTTTGAGTATCATAATATATATATATGTGCATTTCATTTTTACAGATATAAACTCAGTTTATTTTAACCTGTATTTAAATTTTGGAGGCTTACATTAAATTAAGGTAGCTTGTTTAATATCAATTGTAACAGCAGGTGACATTTTTATATAAAAACAGCCAAAAGAAAAAAAAAAAAAAAACCCAAAACATTTGATTTAAAAGACCTGACACCAACGATCTCAAGGGAAGATCTGAAACCTATGGATTTTTGCTTTTAGAAAAGAAAAAGGGGGCATTTAAGCCTACCCATTCACAGCATCTCCCTGCTGGCTTCTTCATACAGTGGTTTTGATAGTGGTCCCAGAGGGAACTGTATTTTGCCTCTCTAGCTAAAATACTAGTTACTATAGCAACTTTGAAGGAAGAAAATTGTAGCTTCAAAAATGAAAGATTGGCAAAACTTCAAATACACTGTCTGGATCAGGCAGACAACAGCACACACGAATGCTGGGAGTGCAGAAAGAGGGGGAATGAAATGCAGGAGTAGTGCACCTGCACTACCACATATGCTGGGGGGGGGTAGGGGGGAAATTTATTTTGCAAAATTAGGGGAAAAAATTACCTTCCTAGATCATAGCCCAGATTAGCCGAATTAAACTATTGTGTTTTTAACAGACTGCATGTATAGATGTTTCATCCACACACTTCAAATCGACTCTGTAAGAGCAGAACATCACACCTTATTAACCTGCTTTAGAAAAGATAACGTTTTCCTCAGTGCTTACAGTACACATTTGTATCCAAATTTCACCTTGTACAGTGAGATCTTTAAGAAAAACAAGGGACACGGAGGGTGTTGCTATTTTTTCTTTAGCAGCAATGAAATATCACTAACCCCTTTTTACATAACCGAATTCAAGTCACAACCAGAGGTGACTGCACCACAAAGTCACCAGGTACAAAACTGCTAGTTCATTTTAAATTAATACCTGGAAATTATTTTCCAATACATCCCTTATTTTTTATTTTTATAAACAGCAAACATTTTGCTATTTTTGTACATAGGCTAGCAGGCTTGTTTCAATATGAAAGTGCTAATTCATTTACAGATTTATCAGTTATGTAGTGCTACATTAAGTGTCCAATATTCTACATATGAACAATCTTTATAAATGGAAATGATGAAGATTAAGTAAGGCTATCTGATTACCTTATCTTATTTACATTAAAAGAATAGACACCCAATAGGAAGGGAGAAAAGGGAAACAAATTGGGCAAATACTCATACTGCCACAGGTGTAAAAATCAAGTCTGCCTTCTAGCTTGTACTGTAAATGAGACATTTTAAATAGTCCTGCAGCCCATGCCTGTATTTTTTCCTCAGAAAAAGAAAAGCTGCCTTCATGACATCCCCTCTTGATTTCCGATTTCCAAAGTGTGTCATTTGAAGCTTTAAATTCAGATTCTTCCTATCTTCAGTAAAACCTCTGGTTTGCTTTCCAGTATTAGGTTGCATGACCAGGTCCCTCTTCTGGGGCTTTTGTCCAATCTATTTATCAATTAGTTTAGAGTGAGTTGTAGATAACATGAACCAGTTCTGGAACCACTATTGGGAGGAACACAAGCTCTTCACTACAATCACACAGTAGCAGGAAAAGTGATAATTCAATTCATTCCTGGGGCAGGGCCTCCAAAATTAAATGAAGTTGGCACAACTGGAGCATTGAATTTGTATCCTCCATGCTTTTCAATCATTTTGGATTCTAAAACAAAACAAAACAAAACAGAAGGAAGATACAGTAGTGTGTGTGTAGGGGGGAAGACAGATTCAGATTCTGTAACTGACTGTTTTGAGTCTCTCAGAGATACAGGTTTAACCTGGGGTTAGCCAAGGAAGTGATCAGCACCCACAAAGTGGAAATGTGCCAGGCCCCAAACAATAGATGGACTATTTATTTATCAATGTTGTTATAGCTATGCTTAAATTAACTTACATTTTAAAAAGCCCACACTTCAGCTTTTGGACACAAGTTTGTGATTTGTCACATTTCAGAAATAGGACTTGAATGGATGGTGGACTTTAAACCTGCTAACAGTCACCCGATTCTTTCTGATTAACATTAATAGACTTCTCAATCAAATCAGTAACAGGGCACACGTACAAAAAAGCAGTACACAGGTATTAACTAAATATTCCAGTGTTCCCATCTCAATTCAACAATACAAGCAGAGATAGCCACTGAAGCACATGAAACAGACATTTTTAGTACACCCGCATTTCCCCACCCATACCCAGGCAGATAATCTGGAGTTTGGGTTACCAGACCATGTAACACAATTCTGAGAGAAAACTATCAAGCTTATCCTTTCTCATTTTCAACCAAACCTTCAGGCATCCGAGGCCCACATATCCATCACTGTAAATAACAGTGATAGTTAAGCTGACTGGTTTTATTAGCTGCATATTCTGTCCTTCAAAGATCACTGTAGCACTGGGGTTTACAAGCTCTAATACATGGGCAACTGAAAATTAGGTTGGCAATTTACACTGTACCTCTACTACAACCTAGAGAACGCTGAAGGTGGTTTGTATTATTCCCAGGTCACGATAACAACACTTATTAATGTCTTACTTCTAGTCTAGGAGCTTTCTCCTACCTCAAAATAGTTGTAATCTCTCTCTTTCTGGGAATATAGCTCATATTATCTAGAAGATCTGCATTTTGTCTCCGTTTCTTTGGAAACAGGCCAGAAAAGTGTTGCCATGGCTGATGATGAACAGGGGGAGAATATGACCTGGGGAGCATTGCTTTGTTCCCTCCCGGCTCCATAGTGCACAGAAGACAAATCTCTTAGCTTATGGAAATTCTTCTTACCTACATTAATGAGAGATAATTATATTCCATCTAACAGGATGTCCCCATGTGTGGTAGGTAGCCTAAATGGGGTATCACTATCCTCTGAAAGTAAGCAAGATTTTCCTGTAATAATCTAGTTGCTTGAGTTAAACTTCACAATCTGAACCTAACTTGCATTATGAATAAGCAGCTGAAAATGTCAAAACAATTCTTTTTCATAAAATGCTCAAGTAGGACATAACCTCATCAGTATGATGTCTAGTGCTTGACAGAGGTCACAGTGAAACTCTGTGTTATAACCATTAAAAGTGGACCATTCTGGACACTTACAAGCATGGTGAAGCAATTTAGGCTGTTTCCTGACAAAAAGTACTTGCAAAATGTGCATTCTCACTACCAGTCTTTTATCGAAAGGTTTCTGAATTTCTCTTTTTAACACATCTTGGAGTAATTGCTCAGTAAGATGCAGGATATGAGACTGGACTGATCACTCAAAATTTAGCCTTGACTTTAAAGAGCGTCTTACTCTCAAACACCTGGGAAAACTTGCAAGAAATAAACGAGACCACCCCAAACCCCCCTGAAGATCTGCCCTCTCTCCTGTATTTTTAAATCTGTACTATCTGTATTGAAGAGTAACAATCTGAAATATTTAATAGGCTCGATGATGTAGCTTTACAGATGGATACTGCTTCCATAATTTGTTATTCTTCCACCTGTTGTCTATCCCAGCTGGACTAGGTCACATCTGGAAGTAAGTTATCAGCCACTTGATGTGTCTTTTACCATACCTAGAGTTCATCCACCTTCAGGTAATCAAATCAATTGCTTTCAAACCTAAGGCATTATGACAAATATGCTTTTATTTACTTGGCCACTTCATTAAATCGTTTCTATCATTCCTTACACCTGTGGCATGCCAGACAATTTGTGCATTGAGGCTTTGTGACCTGACAGTTTTAAGAGATTTCAAACACTTCTGGAGTGTAAAACAACCCTGCTTTGATGAAGACATTATCAGGCTTGAATTACAGACGTTTTCTGTGTTATGCTTCTTGAGCAAATAAACAGCATTCAAGCAGCAAAGGAAGTAATTAATGGTAGAAAGGGGGAAAAATACCATGTGCTGCCCGCCTCTGATCTGCCAGAGTTGCTATGTCCTGCAATTGTTTTCTTTGTTCTTCATTAAGACCCTGTGTCAAAGCTTGGTACCACACAGGGTTACGATTCTGAATTGCTGCAAGAGAAAGAACACATAAGCAATAGGGAACTGTTTGTTGTTCTGTAACTCAAAGCTTACTAACTCACTGCCGTTTTAGTCAGAATAATATTCGGTTAGGTTTACACAATTTCAGATGTTTAAAAACACTTAAAACAATCTCTGACCTCTTCCCTCCCATCATAAATTCATTAAAGCATCTCCCCCAGCTCTTAAAGTTTAATGATTGCTTCCCCTTTCCAAAGAAAGAATTTGTGCAAAACACATACTGTTTGGAAGCTTTCGACAGGTTCTAGTTTACAATGGTATACACTAAAGTTAAAATAAAACTTGTTAGCCAGGAAAGGAAATACAGTTACTTACTCTGAAAAATTGTTTTAAATATCTGATATTCATCAATAGGGTTGTCTTCATCATCAATAATTGTGGAATAGCCTTCCAAAGCAGTCTCTTCAGCATCATCTTCTTCCCAGTCTTCATCATCTCCATCTTCACCTGCCTGTTTTGCTAGAATTTCTAAATATTCTTGACCATCTTCATCAATGTCATCTTCATCACTCCCCAGTTCCTCTGAATTAAATACCACACAAAAATAAAGCTTATTTCAAGAATAGTAAGAATAATTCTTTAGGAAGATGGCTGATTATGCAAAACAAGCAATGCACCAGCAGAGTGCAGACTGGAAAGGGAGAAGGCTCATTGAACTCCTTTCCTAACGCTGTTGTCTCCCGCACCCAGACGCTCCTCCCTCACACCAACTGTGCAAGTGGGAAAATTTAATTATCATAACAAGTATATAGAAAAATGTACATCCAGACAATTTGTAACAGCTCTTGATAAAACTTTTAGCAAAGCAATATTCATGCTTCCAAGAAAGTCTGAAATAATTTAATGAAAACACTTTTAAAGGCACATTCAAAAGGGCTATTGAAAATAACGCTTGAGAAATACAAAATATAACAGTATGAATGACTTATAATGACAGTAGTCAAGACAGTCCAGAATTCAGCAGTAGAGATCAAAAAGAAGCTGGGCTTTAAGTAGATAGATGAAAACAGGTATTTTTTTGAGTGTGGAAAACTGTTCCAAACAATCACTCAGAAAGACACCAAGTTGATGATGGAAAGATAAAAATAGGAAACAAGAACTAAAAGCTTAAGCATAGGGAAAGGTGGAAGAAAGAAGCAGGAGGAAGTTGCAGGTAATTCTGAAGGGGTAAGAGGGGGGAAGGAGGAAAGAAAAAAAATCCTAAGAACTATTATTTTCAATGTACAGCTAAAACACCAGCAGTGCAGGGACAGTTTGTAATATATAGTCCAAACTGCACAATGGATTAGGATGACTCTTGGAAACTCCTGCTGCTGACTCTTATCCCTCACTCAAATGGAAAACATGTCCCAGTAATAATTCCTTTCAGCAATGACAGCATCCACACATAAAAGCTAGCTTGACCCGACTTTGAAGAGACAGCCTAGGAAATTATTTTCCAGTCCCTCTTAAAAACTAAGTCAGATAGACTTGAAAGTCATTAAAACATGTCCAGTGTTACACCACAGCTTTTGATTTTTGGAATTGGGGAACTCTGAAGAATTCCAAAATGGAACTGTCCTGGTTTCAGCTGGCATAGAGTTACTTTTCTTCCTAGTAGCTGGTGCAGTGCTGTGTTTTGGCTTTAGTCTGAGAATTAAGGCCATGGTTCCGTTTTAACTCAGCAGCACTTACCCTGGTCAAGGACTTTTCAGTCTCTCATGCTCTGCCAGTGAGGAGGGACACGGGAAGCCAGGAGGAAGCAGAGGCAGGACACCTGACCCGAACTAGCCAAAGGGGTATTCCATACCACAGCACGTCATGCCCAGTATAGAAACTGGGGGGAGTCACCCAGAAGGGACTGATCGTTGCTCAGGTCGGGCTGGGTATTGGTCGGTGGGTGGTGAGCAATTGTGTTGTGCATCACTTGTGTTTATTGTTGGGGGGTTGTTTGGGGAGAGAAGTGAGCGAGCAGCTGAGTGGTACTTAGTTGCCAGCTGGGTTAAATGACAGCAGAAACTCAGCATCTCCACCAAAAAAAAGAAAAAAAAAAAAAAGAAAAAAAAAAAGAAAAATACAAAGTAGCAGCAACGTTTCAGTTTCCATACCTGTTTCCTCATCTTCTTCAGCTTCATCATCATCATCGCTGTCATTTTCATGTTCTGCATGACAGGCATATGCTCTTTTCAAACCATTAAATAAAAGGATAAAAGCTGGCAGGATCTGGCCAGCAACTTGATTTAAAACCTGTGGTATTTGCTCCAGATCAATAAGAGCACATAAACCAAGCACACACATCTTTCTATCATGAAGTCTACAAAACAAAACAATAAACAAGTTTCAAGTTTTGTTACAATTTACAACCAGGTAATATAGGGGTGTATCACAGAGAATAATCTTCAAAACTAGAAACACTTACCCCAAGAAACAGTCTACATCATTAAGCCATTGTGTTATGAAGTGATTAGTGACAGGCTCCACATTATTGGGGAAACGGAGATTTTCCAATGTATTTAATAGTAGATGAGGATTGTAATACAAAGCAGCTATGGCAACCTGGAGGCACATTGTTCGCAGTTCACTTGTTTTCACTTCTCTTGTCAATCTCTCTAATGCAGCTTCCACAAATAAGGGTATGCACTGAAGAGTGAGAAACGTTACAAATTTAGCGACCAAAACCAAACTTTGTAGTTCTGTATTTCACAGTAAAGTTGAGAAGCGGCATAAACCCAATGTGGTGCATAAATACAGAGGGCAAACAATGAGAATTATTTTTCAGTGGCAGCAGAAGTCGTATACAAAGAGGAAATGTAAAGGTGAAAAGATTTTATCTACTCCAAGCACATGGATTTTGTGACATCATGCACAGTAGACGCAACTTTTGGTTCTGTAATCTTGTGTTCCAAAAAGGAAAAATAGAGGAAATGTGTACACTAGGAAGTCCAGAAAAATCAACTTAGTGGTTTTTCAATATCCGTAACCAAGTCAGAGTTGAGAAGTGGCATAAACCCAATGTGGTGCATAAATAGAGGGCAAACAATGAGAATAATTTTTCAGTGGCAGCAGAAGTCATATACAAAGAGGAAATGTAAAGGTGAAAAGATTTTATCTACTCCAAGCACATGGATTTTGTGACATCATGCACAGTAGACGCAACTTTTGGTTCTGTAATCTTGTGTTCCAAAAAGGAAAAATAGAGGAAATGTGTACACTAGGAAGTCCAGAAAAATCAACTTAGTGGTTTTTCAATATCCGTAACCAAGTCAGGAGACTGTGCTAACACTCCAAAGAAACAGCTCTTCAAAGGAGTAGTCTCTTCAGAGATGCCACACTGAAAAAACCCAATTTGCTGTAGAAGATTTTCTTTCAAGTAAGTTAAAAATTAAAGTTTCCAGGGACCATATCCACAAGTATTAAAAAGCATGCAAAAAGTATTTAAACAGCTATTACACAGTGCTTGTCATGCACACAGCAGAAGCACATGAATTCCTCTCTCAAATTCCAACTTCCATATGTGCATAATGAAGTCCCCGGTTCCTCTATGACACTGGGATTCTAGGAACTTCGTTTTCATTCTTATTTCTTCGAAGGCTATTAACTTGACAGATTGAATAATTTTCACCAGAATCAACTTAGAATGTACTCGATCAACTTTTTGAACCAAGATGCTCCTAAAACAGTACGCTTCCAGAGTCACTAAAACTTTCGCAGTTCTGCAGCGTCCTAAACCCTGGAGACAAAGCGTGCAGTAACAGCCTAACCGAGTAACACTGAAGTAGAAGACAGGATTATTAGCTATATACACAAACTTCTTGGAAGAGAACTGATGTTAATACATAATCAATTTGTAGTCAAGAATAAAATACATTTTAAATACGAGTTGTGACAACCAAAGCTGTTACCAACCTGATCAATGCCACGCCCTTTACACTGAAGAATAATTACTTCTAACAGCTTTGCTGCATGACATTCTGCATCTTCTCCAGCAACTCCTGTAAGGACCTGAAAAATAACGATTACTGTTGATGATATTGAAAAACTGACATCAATTTACCCACTCTACTGCAAAACCCACTCTACTAGCATAAACACCCGTCAGTAAAGCAGCCAAACCTACAGCAATGGCTCAGTATCACAACAAGAGACCGAAGCATTGCAGAATGTGGGTAAAACTAATCTACATGTACAAATACTCAACAACTCTATAGAAGCAGAGCTTACAACAGGAACTGTATAAGCATCAGCTGCCATTTTGCAAAGGTTTCTTTCCACACACAAAACAGATTTTTCTTATACAAATACTGAATTTTGCAAAAATTGTATTTACAAATTTGGGATATCCAGCAGCATATATAAATACCTAACAAAACAATACCTAAAACTTCTCGGTTAAAGATTTACTGTGCTCAGCTAATAAAACACTAATCACTAAGAGGTTAGAACAGCTATTTTTCTTTTTTATATATAAAATATTCAAGCATTTATAATCAGCCTGGTTGCAACTTGTTTTTAAGGAGGCTAAGAAGAGTTACTCACTGTAGTATCTAAACATCGTCAAAAGAATTACTCAGGAAATATGATGGGCAGGGCAGCTGACAGTTCACCCTAGTCCTTAAACAGACACAGCACATGATATCCAGAATTGGAGAACTGAAATCCCCACAGATCACTATTGGAGATTATAAAATATTAACACCACCCTACAAAGAAGTATTAGTTTCCTCGCACAGGGCTAACATTCTGGAAAGCTTCGTATTCTACATATTGACTGGATAAAGAAAGCCCAGTTGGCAGCTACCTGTAATACACAGAAGCTGAGAAGCTAAATACAGAAGCACTGCCCAAAAGTGACTGGACTGAGTCAAACAACTCCCAGCTTTCATCACTGACTTAACAGGAACTTGGGAAAATATCTTTCTATTCCTATCCCTCTGCTTTCCATCCCTGCTCCACTTGTTTTAGCTCACATTTAAAACCTTTAGCAAACGTATGTTATGTGGTGTCACAGTCACAGCGAGGATACAAATCTCAGCTAAAGAAACTGCCTTTTGCATTATGCATACACATTTTGCATGCCCATACGCACAGTATGTAAGACACCAAACACACGTGCACAAAGCCCGCTTTTGTTGTGTATGATTTATTTTCCCTTTTTAGCAAAAGGATATATCTGAAATTTGATGCAACCTCTTAATTTCTCTGCAATAACTTAATTGGTGGAATCACAGAGGATGCTAAATAGCATAATGCTTGAGGAGCAGATGTCAAAAATTCTTCAGTTTCAGAGCCCGCTGTTGCAGTAAACACTACCCAGTAAGAGTGTATGACTTCAGAGATCACAGGTTTTGTTATCACAAAGGCATTTGCTTACCTTCTTGCACATACTGTAGATCATTTCAAGATACTTTGTGTCTGACAGCAGTGTATCTGTATCAACAGTAACATAATTATGCAAGAGAGGCATCATGTCTGTATTAAAAGAAGAATGATCACAATTAAGATACCGTCTGCATATTTTATTAGACGAGCTGTTAAAATCGGGTTGAAATCTGTGTATTAATAAGTTAATTACAGTACTTGCTTAATGTTTGTCAAGATAAGCATGCATATTTAGCAAAACAAGTCTGGTTGCAGCACAGCAGAATTAAATACTTCACACTGCAATCAAGATGCAGTTCACTGTATGGTTGAATTCACTTACATGAAACCATTTGGTTGATTTATTTGTGTCACTTACCAGTAAAATAATCAAAGCCATCACTTAAAAAAGGAGAGGAAGAAGCTGCCACATTTGTGCGGAAACTTGTTGACAGGTCAGACTATGAGCCAAAGAAAAAATCTCCTCATAGAACTCTAAAACAAACAGAATCCAGGTAAATTTAATGCCTCTCCCATACACTTAAAAAAATAAGCCAACGGAAGTACATATACCTAATACATGCTGCTGCAAAACTGTTCCAATCACTTGCAAACAGATTCCTTCCAGCTGCTGAGTAATCTGCAAAAAAAAGAGATTTATGACTGTTTTCAACACTTTGGAGTTGAAATGAAACAAATTTTAAAATAAAACTACTTAAAGCAGTTTCTATTTATACAATACAGTCTTCTAAAAGCAATTCAAAATTTCTCATATTTTAAAGCACCGAATGTGTAAAAGCAGCACTCTGGCTAAGGATTTGTAAAACAGTTTTTAAACACAAAGTGGTTTTGGAATCTTCTTTGAATACTCGAAGACTCTCATTATAGGGTATCCTTTAAAAAGAGAAGCCTGACAGTAACCCCACATACAACAGTTCAGTCCCATTAAGACACACAGTAAGTAAATGTATACATCAGAACAGTCAACAATGGAAGTTGCAGGAAGCATTTGCTGCTCCAGAAAAGTGAAATTTTAAAAAAAAAAAATCAAAACCAACCAAAGAACAAACACAAACCATCTCCCTAACCCAGCTTAGGATGTTCGTATTGTATGCAGACAATAAGTGTAAATGCAGATCTACAGATTCAAACACTCTTCCCAGTGAGTATTTATTAGTCCATGGAAGGACACGTCCACCAAAATAGTCTTTAACCTGTTTAGGGCACTTCCCTTGCACAGGGACAAATAGGGGTTGAGTTTCTGGTCTTAGCTATGCAGAATAGGATTTGAAACTAACCAGCTAAATACCCTTATCTCTTGGAACACTGGTCACCGTGTGTGAGATGTCTCTAAATACAAATGTTTACCGATCAACATTTTACAGCTGAGTTCCTCAGGACTAGCACACTGTTACACAAACTTTTCATTTAGATAGCAAGAATTTGCTGACAAACCCAAGTACATTACAAGCTTTCTGAGCAGCTTTAACAACAAGTAAATGAGCTGAACTGGTCCCTTGTTTATTGCATGGCAGCACTGGATTGCACCCTTGGGCATTCAGAATTCCTATTATGCTGCTTCCTCAGTGAAGACTTCAGAGCCCTGAGAGTACAATTTATTACTGTTTAGTCACTAAAAAGCTATAATGTATTTTTCAAAAAACAGTAGCTGACTTTGTCAAGAAAGATTTTACTCAGCATCTTTCAAACAAGCTGCATTCTGGACAGAAATTAATCCATTCAGGACAACAAAACTAAACAACAAACGTTTTCATCCCACTGGAGAAATCTGCAGGGCAGATTAGGCAGGTAAAAAACCTATTATTTATCACAGCCACGACAGCTGTATTTACGGACATTGATTCTGCTGCACAGAGCAAACTAAGGCAGCAGAGTCAATGTTCAAAGCTAACTAAAGTTTTATCTATTTTCTCTGAAAGACAGAGCTCATCGAATCAAACGCGTTTTTCCAGTAGAGCTGACAGATCCATCTGTGAAAGAGACAAATTTCTTTTACCCATCTGAACAAGGACCTACACTCTTGTGGGGAATACTGTGGCAACATTTATGCTTTATTACTCCAGGTATTGTGTTAGAAATGTGACCCACTCTGTTACAACTTTGTTGCATAAGTACTTCACTGTTTTCCATTTTAAGCTTTTTTTGGCCAAAAGGATAGTTTTTCAAATAACAACGTCCAGGAGCACTGGAACTACAGAAGACTTTCAGTGTCTTAGACAATACATATTGCTACTACATAATTAAAGTAATTTCTACTTACTTCCTTGTGATCTTCAACTACACTAAGAAGTGTATCGATAGTATTCAAGATTCCCATTGCTGTCACTGCTTTGTCATCACTGCCCTCTTCATCTGGTCCAGTCTGGATCACCTGGTTAAATGTCATTGCCTGCATGTAACAGCAAAACAACCCATATATATGTCATTAAGCGAGGACATGCTTCAAGATGAATTGTGCAAGTCTGGTATTCTACACAATTTAAGGAGGACTTCTAAGTCTTCCTTAAAACTCCATTCCACAGTTTGTTTTCAAGATCGATAAAAGTTGAACATTAAGCCCTTTTAGCTGCCATCCTTTATCTATTACTGAATAAGAAGATATAAACGACATCACTTCCATGCAAAAGAATACATTTTCTGGAGCAAGTTTTTCTAACGCAAGGTGTAATTGCTAGCTGAACTAGATGGGACCGCTTTGCAGGCATTCCCAAAGAGGACAATTTAAACTCCAAGGCAAGGACATTCAGTAGGGAAGCACTGAGCTAACCTCTGTTTTTGAAACCACTGGTACAACTTGCTAGATATGGCTATTCAAGCTCTGAATTTCTCCTGCAGAATCAATTTTATGCTCACATTACATACAATATATTTTCACACCAGATACTTTTATTAAAAATCTGCTCTTTAATTTCCTCTTTTAAAGCAGAAAACCTAAGTCACATTGTAGAGACTACCTAAAATGTGCCACTGGAATGTATTATTAACATTATCAGGAAAAAATACGAAGATTTCTCAAACAGTTCTATAATCATTCTAATAAATTTCCATTTAGTTCAAGTTATGAAGCCGCTTCTGAGAAAAAAGTCTAAATGTAGAAAAAAATGACTTGCATCACTGCACTTAGACTGGAGAAACAACAGCTACTGATTGATAGACAACTATCTTAATTTTAAATACCAATCCTTCACGTATTAAATGTCTTCCTAAGTCACCAAAAATTCTTACCAAATGCTGCGTCATTTCTACTGCAATTGGGGTAACTTCTTCACTATATTCACAGATCATCTTCTGAATCACATTAGTAAGATCATCATTTTCAGTCTCTCTTATAATATGAAGTAAAGCTTGCATTACAGGTCTAATGAATGGAGTAATATACTCTTTAGCTGTAAAACAAGTGGAAATATTTGAATTTACCTTCTTACGAAACTACAGTATACGAAAGTCAATATATACTTTTTAGTGCTTTGGCATCAATATGCCAAAAGCATGGGTAGCATAAGCCATTACAGCAGTACTAATATTCAGAACAATTTTTAAATAAAAGTTATCTACACCAAGAGGATCATAACTGCAGCATGAAAATCTGAGTTCCACAGTCTTTATGAAATGCAAGATTACTTATCAGTGCAAATTTTAATTGAACGGGAATGGGTACATAGGCATTTTTGCCAAATTAGACAATGTATCTGATACAGAATTTACGTTTGCTTTGTGGCTTTTATGCCAGCTTCAGGAATCCTGAGCAATGGAAAGCCTGCCAGGATAAAGACAACTTCTTTAAAAAATAAATTTGAACATGGATGAATATATGCTGACAGATATGCTTGTATTGCCACTGTATTTCTGATTCAATGATCAGGTGCTATAAAATGGGATTTATTGTACCATGAAATTGTAATATAAAATTTTCCAGCTGGAAGATTATGGTAAGTGATTACAAATTACAATTTTAAGTACTAAATTAACATCAGGAAAGAAGAGAACAAGTCTCCCTGAACATTGCAATATTAATGCCTATTCCATTAAAACTTGCTGCAGCTTTAAGAAAAGAGAGCTACCTTTCTCTTGATTACTGATCAGAACTTGAAGTGCTATTGCAGCTTCCACTTTCACAGGCATTTCCCTATCATCTATCAGACACCGTCTTGTGAGTTCTAAGGCTGTCTGCAGATTCTGGTCACTCTTAAATTTGACTTCACAAAAATAATGAAGAACCCAACAAGCCTGAGAAAAAACAAACACATTGAACAAATTCAGAGTTACAGAAACTACAAATGGGATTATCGACTATTTGTATACCAAACACCTACAGAAAGTACAACTACTGCTGAATAAAGATACTCTAAAAGTTTTTAACAGATGAAGATGTTTGAGAGTATGGAGGCTGGCCAGTGGGAGGCTTGTCTTTCAGACATCACTAAGCCAGTACTATGATCTCAAGTTCATCTTTGGCCACAGGTTTTGTGTGAGCAGTGCAGTCTAAATGCAAAACACAGATAGACCATACCACCAGACACAGACGGGTAACTATGCACACAATTCTGCAGCCATTTTAAAGCTACGCAGTAGCTATCTATAATCACACATAAAGACTGATATTAATCTCTGAAATAAGAATACAATTCATTACAGAAAAGGTACAGAAAGGAGCATGTTTGTTAAGAGGGAAAAATACAAAGCATATTCCTGAACTCTTCAGTTGCAATGGACAGTGTCTTAACAGTAAATCTTACACTTTCTTACCCGTGCTCTCATGTAACCCAGCTCACTGCTGAAGAGAGGGAACACATGATTCTGCAACATATATTCCATCTGATCTTTATATATCTTCTTCTGTTAGAAAATGAATAGAAACGCAGTAGTTTAAAATTCATATAGAAATGCATTTCTAATCCAGTAAAAAAAAGTCGCATATAAAGCGTGAGCAGTGTAACAAAACTCTCAGACTTCTAACTTCCCCCTTTATTAAACTGCATTAAGCAACAATGAAATTCCATATTAATAATTAAACTTGGATCCTACACGGACTTCTAGAAGTTTCAGTCAAAATAAAGACACTTTTTTCCCCCCTGTCATTTTCTGACTCCTATAGACACCTTTTGCTTGGCAGTACAGTACTATGGTATCAAAGCAAAAGTGATCAGGGCAGCTTCTCAGAGCCATGGTCCAAATACAAATCCATGCCTTGCATCTTTTCTGCTATCATGCTAATTGAGCAAGGTTGCTAATTTCACTCTCTTCTACACACAGAAAAGCTCTCATTAAATCAACAGCCTCTCACTGAAAGGATTTTTTTTCCCCTTCCTTTCTTTCACAAAAAGGGAATGTAGTCAAGTGCAACGCAGGAAACGGTGTAGCAATTCTTATTAAAAGCAGAGAACTTAAAGGAACTTAAAACAATGACCTGAACTTGTACATGACCTAATAAAACTTGTGTGATTAAGTTGACAACAGAACAAAACCAATTCAACTCAACAGCTTTAAAAAAAAAAGAAAAAAAAAAGGCAGTGGTTCAAAGTCTTGTAAACTCACAGAGCTATTCCCATTTTTTCCAAGACACTAGATGTAAAAGAAAGTAAGGGAGCAGGGAAAGAACCAAGATAACCACCAGATCTGTTATGCTTACTTTTAGGAGAATTTCAGCCAAAGAACCAATCATATGTAAAGCACCATCTTTCTTACGAGGGTCAGCATTTGGCTCCGTAAGGATTTGATAACAAAAGCCCATTGTCTTCTGCAAGACCTAAATTACATGTAAAGTTAGTCAAAGTATTTCAATCAATCATCTCAGGTATCATTATTGATGCTCTGAAATGCTTAAATCGCGAATAATCTGCTCCAAGTCTGGAATTTGGAGAATGTTTTAGGTCTTCGTTATCAACACACAACATTCTTGATAGGTCCTAGGGCAACTGGCAAATACAAAACTCACAGATAAGACCAGTGCAAAATAAATTTGAGAGAAATTATTAATTTTAGTGCGCTATGATATGACATGGAGCAGAAAAGTAGAACTTTTATTAGTAGGTCTATCAGCAAAGGGAGACTAGAAATTAGAGCTATAAGCTAATGCTGTATTTAAGTAAAATCCGTGAATAGCTTACCTCTTTCCTTTTACTACATGATGTAAACAATAATGTCTGAGCAGCAGTTGTTGGAGAAATGAAGTCTTCGAATACGTCTATGAAATAAACACATAACAGCTATAAAACCCGGTCCTTTACTACAGGTCATGATCCTAATGTAATCTAATGATTTAATATGAAACCAAAGAGCAACAATTTTCCTTTTTTCCAGGTGGTTAATCATCCTTTCTTACAGCAGATATTCCAGCCCAAACAACAGCCACACATGGTTGGAGACTACTGATACACGTTTCACCTTTTGCATGATCACTGACTCTCTACATGTGCGATATGAAATTGGGAGATTGCCTACCTTAAGATAAATCTTTTTTATCAGTAGCAGCAGCATTGACATATATGTTATTTGCTGTGCTGGCAAGCACACCTAATTGAGTTAAAAATGCTCGGTTTCTTATTTCTCTGCAGAAGAGGATTATCAGAGCCTTGTATCATACTTGTACTGTTTACAGGTCTGCCTCTGACCTGAGGGATAAGAAACTCCCAAATCCATCAAGATTTCTTGATCTAGCTACAGAAAAGTCCTAGCAGAGGGAAGAATTTGTTCAGGAAGGCTGAATTGTCTTCTTTCTACCCCAGCCTGAAAGGGCTGCATAGACTTACAGTAAACCTCAGCAACAAAGCAGCAAGCCACAGAAGACAAATCTGGAATGCTAGGCTTACTCCATAATGTTTCATTTGCCATTATGGTAAATCTGTTCTGAACTGTGCCATGTGTGAATTTCCTTAGGATCGTAAAAACTCCAGGGCTTGAAATATTAGCTGCTATAAAGCATAAACTTTTAACAACATTAAATTTATGCAGTTATTGTTACCAAGACCTGGGCTGTTTTGCTTATAACAGAAACTTTGAAACTGCCAAAATTAGCTACGTTTTCAAGTGCAGAAACACCTGTGTCATTGCTGACTGTCATATGTTGTCTGTCATTTCCACCACTACATTGAGAAGTTAGCTATATGAAGCTCTATTATTTGGATAATGCGAACTGTTTTTATCTTTTTTGAATTTTAAAGATTAAAGCCATCCCTGTTTTCACACACACACAAAAAAATCATAAAAACCCCTTTGTGTGAAGTCATATTTTGACAGGAGAAGATTTCAAATTCTCACCAAATTTCATGCGAATATATTCATATGGATCTTCTTGCCAAAGCTCTTCATCAGCATCTGTATAGCACATCAATGGAAAAATAACATCTTGGATAATCCCCTGCAATTAAAAAAAAAAAAGAAAAAGGAGGTTGAAAACAGGCTAGCACTACTAAATCAACCTCTATATTCTGTCCTGTATTTCACAGATTGTGCCTACCCTGTCACTTCCTCACATAAAATGTATTTGGACATAGCAGATTTTATGCGCTACCTTACAAAAAAGGTATCTTTTAACTTAAGGTGGAGCTGCAATGCAGCACAAGCTATTATATGTGCTTTGGATAATGGTATGTGGAGATAATTCAGTGCCATAAATTCAGCAGTTAACACCATCTCCAAGTTTGTTCATTGCTGTGTTACACTGTAATCCTTAATATATATATTAAAGCACAAAGGACTGACAACAAAAAAGGCCATTACGCAGCTTTGCTCGTGGATCTGGGTAACCTTCACCAAACAGGCTTAAACTCTTTCCACCAGTAATTTATAACATAGGTCCCCAAGAATTGAATTGTAGCAAGGCTACAAACACCATACAGACTGACTAATGTACTACTGAGTCACCTAAGCACTAAACCCCCAAAAATGGTTTACTTGAATATGAGGTTTCAGATTCTTCCAGGTGACTGCATGTGACACTCCTTGATTGATGTAATTCAGTGTTTGCTGCAGAACTCTAGGAGCCATGTACTGCTTTTCCTTGTACTGATACAACACCTTCAGCAACACCTAGAAAAATCAGATCTCATCAGTAGCTTATACTGAACACAGACCATTTTAACCAGAAGAATTCTACCCTCCCTCACAATCCTGTACAAGAACCCCTCTATGTCCAACAAAAAAAACCCCAAATCAAACCTCTTTGTTCATTAGACTAAAATGGGTACTGACTAAACCTTCTACTAAATGTCACTGTTAATTTTATAAGGCAATTTGAAGCTCACATCAGGTACTGCACAACTTTTAAAAATACAAACCTTTAATAAGACAAAACATACACGCTAATTCATCACCAACACAGCCCAGGAGACCTTTTCCTCAGAGGTTTATTATTCCACCTTGCTGCTTTTGGGGGACTGAAATTCATGCCCAAACACTGGACTGGTAAAACACACTCACACAGCCTACTGATTCTTGCCTATGTGCAGCCTTACAGCAATGACACTGAATGAAGAATATACATGGATAAAGAATGATGAACCAGCCTCCTCCCTTGGCTTTCTGGACTCAATTCTTCTCCTGAGGTAGCATTCAGAACTATACAGAGCTATTTACATTTGTTGAAGTTCATGGCTCTCCAAAAATAAGGACATGAAATGCACATGGGACCATCGCTAGCAATTAAATTCCACCTCACTGGAAAGTTTGGTATTAGTAATGCAAGGGGGATTTCCTTGTAGCCCAATCCAAGTCAGTGGCAACACTGCACCTTCAAAAGCAGCAGCACCAACTGGAGAGAAATGACAAATCCCATTTCCAGGCTTTCATTTTCACATAAACAAAGTTTAAAAAAAAATAATCAAAAACTGATATCTATCAATCTGTAACATCACCAAGAAAACATTTTGGGAAAATTAGATTTATTATTTTGAAACATTGATAACATTTATTACAGAAACACTGAAGCCTTTCTCCCAAAGGTGATGTCTCACACTTGAGTTTAAAGATTCATTCACTCACCATCAAAATTCTTGGCTTTACAAATGGTTTTATGCTCTAGATGCGAGCTGACATGCCTGAGGGACAGGATGCCATCCAAAGGGATGTGGTCAAGCTTGAGAAGTGGGCTCATGTGAACCTCAAGAGGTTCAACAAGGCCAAGTGCAAGGTCCTGCACCTGAGTCAGGGCAAACCCCAGTATCAATACAGAGTGGGGGATGAAGGGGTTGAGAGTACTCCTGACTTGGGAATACTGGTGGATGAAAGACTGGACATGACCTGGCAATGTGTGCTTGTAGCCCAGAAGGCCAATTATATCTTGGGCTGCATCCAAAGGAGCAGGGCCAATAGGACAAGGGAAGTGATTCTGCTCTTTTACTCTGCTCTGGTGAGATCCCAGCTCTGGATTCCTCAGCTCAGGGAAGATATGGACGTTTTGGAGAGGGTCCAGAGGGGGGCCATAAAAGGAGGGCCTTCATCAGAGGGATATAGCACCTCTCCTATGAGGACAGGCTTAAAGACTGGGTTGTTCAGCCCGGAGAAGACTCTGAGAAGACCTTATTGCAGCATTTCAGTTCTTAAAAGGGGTTTATAAGCAAGATGGCGAGAGACCTTTTAGCAGGGTCTGTTGCAATAGGACAAGGGGTGACAGTTTTAAACTAAAAGAGGAGAGATTGAGGTTGGATGGGAGGAGGATTTTTTTTTTACAGTAAGGGTGGTAAAATACTGGAACAGGTTGCCCAAAGAGGTGGTGGATGCCCCATCCCTGAAGACATTCAAGGCCAGGCTGCAGATGTCCCTGCTCATGGTGGGGGGGTTGGACTAGGTGACCTTTGAAGGTAGGTCCTTTCCAACCCAAACTACTCTGATTTAAAACATACACATTAGGGGTTCTTTGTTCTAGGCGAAAGTAGTAATCCTGGGTGTCCTGGGTTCAGCTACAGCAGTCATTTTTCTCCTTCTTAGTAGCTGGTGCAGGGCTGTGTTTGTGACTTTCAGTCTGGGAACAACGCTGATAACACCGATGGTTTTAGTTGTTTCTCAGTAATGTTTACTCTGACCAAGGACTTTCTCAGTCTCATGCTTTGCCAGAGAGGAGGGGAAGCCAGGAGGAAGCAGAGGCAGGACACCTGACCCAAACTGGCCAAAGGGGTATTCCACACCACAGCACGTCATGCCCAGTATAGAAACTGGGGGGAGTTACCCGGAAGGCCCAGATCGCTGCTCGGGTCGGGCTGGGTATCGGTCGGCGGGTGGTGAGCGGTTATGTCCTTTTCCCTTGTTATTCCTCTTATCATTATTATTGGTAGCAGTAGTGGTTTGTATTATACTTTAGTTACTGGAGAGCTGTTATCTCAACCCGTGGGAGTTACATTCCTTCGATTCTCCTCCCCATCCCTCCGGGAGCGGGGGGAGGAAGGAAAAGGGGGGGAGTGAGCGAGCGGCTGCGTGGTTCCAAGTTGCCGGCTGGGCTTAAACCACGACACTGGGTCTTCAGCAAAATAGACCAGATTCTAATACAGTCTTCTCTGCGGAAAAGCTTATACAAGAAGTTTGCTGCTGTACTTAAATTTTAGAAGAACCTGAAGGTTAGGGGGTTTTTTGAGAGAGAGAGGGAGATTCTCCCACGTAACAGCACAGCACACAGAAAACCTGAATTCATCAATAGTACTTGAAAGGATAAGGAATAGTCTTTTGAAGTAAGTACTAAGCTGAGGCCTAACAAATAGTCTTTGCAGCCATGCTACTTCGGACAAGTCTTTTGGTCCTCTCTTTTCATAAATCTAAGCAGTTCCATGATTCAGATGCAATAAGGAATTAAGATTAAGAAAAGGTTTAAGAATTGCAGTGAGGGAAAGCAGAATGTGGGTTGGAGGGTCCAGGGCAAATAAAGCAAATTCTGCAGCTGTGTCAAATGAACAACCAGGCAGTAGTGTTCAACCACGGCTTAGTTCTGGCCATCAGGTCTTGCAAAAGGAGAAATGTCTAGAGCAAAACAGCTGCTAACACAAGGGATAAAAATCAAGGTATTCCAGCTAGGCAGCTTAGCCTGTTTTGGCCAAGCTTAAGAAAGTTTAGCTGGAACTAATGCTGCATGTACTGGATTTAAATTTTTTTGAGGGGGGGTGGGGTGATATGCAAATGACAAAAAGATACTGAGTAGATAAAAAGAATAATCGAAGTGATTATGAGAATATTATCATCAACCTGTTTCGAGGTTATACTTGAACAACCTTTAATCCCGTACCACATTTATCTATTACTCCTTTAGTAAAAGGGTGAGCACACTTTAGCAAGTAGAGTCCAGTGAAGCATGTTATCAGTATTTGTATTCTTCAGAATTACACAGATTTTTTTTTTTTAAAAGAAATACATCCTGTTAAGAAATCTTCCATAACATTTATCTGAAGGATTCAATTTCTTTGAGCGTACAACCAAGATCTATCTTCTCCACAGACACAGAGGACAGCAACAATAAATAGACAGAAATAATCTGTCTCTCTAAACAAGTTACATTATTGTACAGGAAGAAACTGCAAGCATTTTAAGGTACTGTTTTCTAGCAATTTTCTTTAAAGACTTCAATTCTTGGTGTTTCTCAGATACAGTAAGGATCAAAATTGATTCGAAGAAAATGTAAAGAAAAGACACAAAGTATTTTGTTGAACTGTTTAAATGTATCTTTTCAAAGACTTCTTTTGCCCATACAGCCTTTTGTCAGAACTTCATTTGATCTTGGAAGTGCAAAGCAACCAGTAAGGTCTTAAAGAACATGTAATAATTATGTCTGATGTCATCTACAGGTGACAGATGAGCACCTCAGAAGGTGATGCTGACTCCACTTGTCTGAGTAGAATGCTGGGATATACTTCCTAACACTTAATGTGACAAATGTCCTTTTCACTTTCAATACTTTGGATGTCCTTCAAAAACCATGTATTTAGGAGATACCTTCCCAACTTTTAGAGTCCTGTAATTCATCATTATTGCATTAGGAATGAAAACTAAGAAAACTGAAAGTGAGCTAAGATCTGTTCTTCTCCTAATTAAAATAAAGGCTTTAAAAAAACCCACTCCTGGCCCTGAGATTTTCATAAACTATTTACACTTGCAATCTAATCACCTTAATATAAACAGATTTATAAGCCAATACAAGGAAAATTTACAAAAACTACTTGAAGTTTTTTAATAAATAATCTAGTTTCAAAAGAACAGAAATCGGCAACAGCTGAGACTCAGATCCAAAAATTGCCCAATACTGATCGGAATTTTCTTGCTATTTCAAAAAGTTCAAATTACTGACTTTAAAAACACATGCAGTATAAGTGAGGTAGATGACAATTCCTGCCCCACCAATCCATCCTGTCCCTCCCAGAAAACCTGTAGGTTGCTGCCACACGTAGGACTGTCTGAATCACGAAGTTACTCCAGTGAAGTAAATCAAGGATAGTTTGGCATAACATTGATACATCACATTAGAAACTGCTACAGCCCAGAAGATGAACACTTATAACAGACCCAGTAGCAGTGGCAACTCCCAGATAGGGAAACGAGTGGAAAGCGACCATTAGACATACCTGTTTGTAAGCGAACCTCTGCTTGATCAGGCTTTTGCAGAAAACTAAAAGCTTAGTATTTACTGACTTTGAGTCAAACAAGAACTGTATCATCAGAGTTAAAAGGTAAGAAGGCAGACTACACCACATAAATATCATACCTATGTCTTCCAGAAAGAGAAAAACTGGTAGCATTTATCTGAAGCTCATCTGAGGGCTTGTTATGTGAGAGCTATTTACAGATTGTCAATGCTGCACAGGCTGTTTTCAGTGGATTGTCCTACGTGGCAAACTAATGATTTTTTTTAATCGCTCATTTAACCCCCAGACTTCAGTGCTTTCCACACCAATGTACTTAAAAAACCCACAGTCGTGTTAATACCCCCCACATTCAGTGTTTCTTACTTGCTGAACACCAACAGCAAATGCCTTCAGGAACACTTCAGCAAATTCATTGTACTCCTTGGAAACATTACCAGGGCTTCCATACCTAGAATTAGAAGCAATTATGCAAATTCAAGGGGGTAGCAATATTATTGACTTGAATATTTGTTTCATGTTTTTTTTGGGTTGGGTTTTTTTTTTTCTTAAATAGCAATGGAAAATAAAATACCTCTCAAAAAGCCTTGCTAAGATATGCAAAGCCCACTTCTTGCATTTCCACCAAGGCAACTCCGGTCTATCATCTTCATCAACTTGAAGGGTTTCCTTTTGGGGAGAAAAAAATAACAAAGGGGAAGAAAAAAGAAGAAAAAAAAGAAGAAAAAAAAATATTTACCAACTACTCACAAAAAGCTCAAATTGTATGTATTCTGAACAACGACATAGCGTAGTTTGCTTTTAACCTCCCATTTGCACTTCTAGCTTAATAGAAGTATAAAGTACAGTATATCTAAAGATAAACTGCTTGATATATGCTGCATAAATGACGAACAAGTTCTTGAAACAAGAAGCCGAAGTAATATACTGTAATTTGCTATAATGTGCTAACTCAAAAGCAACAGAACTCCCACACAAGCTACACAATTTCAGAATTTGTCTAGCCTGTTTAAAACACCCTATTTAGCTTAAAAAGTATTTTCTTGGCATCTATTGAGAAAAAAAGAATGCAGAGTTAAACATTCTAATGAATGATAAATATTTAAGATTAAATTCATATATAGCCAAAAGCCACTTACAGCTGGTACATCCCTATCGACCACAGTCTTCAGGATTTCTATCCATTCAGTCAGGTTTTGCTGATTTATCAACTCCAAAGGTAACGTGTACTTAATAAAAAAAAAGAGGGTGGGGGAATTTATTATAAAACCATTTGAAAATAATGTTACCTTCACAGTTTGAATTTCAGCTCTTCCAAATCTTTGTCCACACTAAGGTACCATTAAAGATTAGCAAGTTACTTGGAAAACCAGGCTGACGAATTTAACACACCCTAGTTTACACCTTCAATACCCTTAGAGGTGGTAGAGGTCTTTACTCCAATTCATTCTGCTTGTGCAATGCTAAGATTCTACTTAAAGAGATGTTACACTAATTTCTGAAGCAATTAATAGCGTATTCACAGTTTAATTCCAAACTATTGCATTTACACTGCTAATTCTATATAGGCTGCCCTCTGGTTTTCTAGCAAATACTCTACCTTAGAGGATAGCACGCTTAAGTTCTATCTAATGCCAACCAGGAATATTAATGTATAAAAAGTGCAATACAATTAAGCATACCAAAACCCTGTGATTCCTATAACTGCTGAGTAGCAGGGGAAATTATTTGATGTAATCTAATACTGTTAGTATTTCTGCAATTCACAATTTTACAGAAAAGTATATGTTTTAAATTAAATTAATGATGAAGTTGATACAAAGTTTATTCTTTACCTGGACAAGGGCATAAAATATTTTGAAGATCTGTTTCTGGATGAGGACAGACTGATCAGATGGATCACTCAAGAGCTGAATAAAACTATCCTTCAGAACTGGTAGAAAATGTTGCATTGCAGCTATCAAAGGACTCCGCTCCTCTGGCTTCTTGTACCTTTAGATAAGAACAAACTAGTTTTGTAGCTCTTTCAGGCAGCTTTTGAATTTTAGAAGTCCGCCTTTCCCCAATGTAGACGCAAGTAGGTTTTATTACAGTTCATAACAACATATGATTAAAAAAAACCCAAACAATTTGCCATTTCTTTACAGAATTCGAAATAAAGCAAGCCAGACAATATTACAGTTGCTGGGCTAGTCAGTAAAATTCCAGAAAGACATTTATCAGAGTTCACCATTTACAAAAAGTATTTCCAGAAGCTCGATTACTTCACTGACATTGACAAAAGTATACTTTCGCAGCTTACCAGTGATGTCTCTCACAAGGAATGGTTTGGGTTGGGAAGGACCTTAAGATCATCCAGGTCCAACCCCCTGCCATGGACAAGGACACCTCCCACTAGACCATGTTGCCACATCTTACCATTTATTTGCCCAAATCTAACAACTAAGTAGAGAATGTAGGTTTCAAGGCTATGTAGCAGGTGGAGCAAGCTTTGATTGCAGCCCCCCTTGAAACAGACCTTCCCATGCTGGTGACAGGCCACCAGTTTGTCTATGCTGAAAACAGGGCTCCGTTTCCTTTCTCAAAACATGTCAATATTCCTGAAAGGAAATGAAGCTGGATTTTGAAATCTTCTCCCCAGCTTTAAAGTTGTAAAGAAGAAAGTACTTATTGACTCTAGAGTTATCACAACAGAATAGGATCTTGTCCATACTGGTGATAACAATAAGAACAAAGTAAAGTATCACTTAGAGACTGTACAGCTTTATTTTTTATTAAGAAATTAATAAGCTTTTTTTTTTTTTAATTAAAAAATGAATACTGTAATACTCTTGGACTCCTGTGGGAGACTTCGGGGTTGGAGGATTGCGTTTTGGTTTGGTTTTGTGGTTTGTTTGGATTTTTTAATACATTTTTGGTAGTCTTTTCACTAATACTAAATATCAATGCTCAGCCTCTTAACCAGTGCCAATTTGCAAAAATGTAAGATAAAGTCTACTCAATCTGCTGCCACATGGCATGTTCTGTAAAACTACTAGAGACCACCGAGCTCCTAAAATTCCATTCAATAATACACTTTCCATGTATTTTCTGAAATAGAAACCTAAATATAAAAAGATTAAATGTTGCTCAGGAAAACTCGGTTTCTCATTTCCACAAAAGACACAATTAAAAAAGACCAGAAAAAATGACTATGCAGAGAGAACCCATTTGATCTTCCTGGCTGGACTTGGAAAGGAAAGAAGTTTAAAAGCCCCAAGATATTTACTTTCCAAAAAACCAAGCTAAATATTCCTACAACTCAAGCAGTAAAAACTTGATCAGTCACAACATTATGTGGTTCCCCCCCCCAAAAATGACGTTATTTAACAATTTTTACAGCGACCTGGTTGCAGCCATATTGTTACTCAATTGAAATGTGCATATTCCTACATGATCTGTGAAACTGACCCTTGACTTCACCACGTAGCTAAACAAGTATGAGCAGATGCTTGCTTCAGCTAAAGCACTTGATGAACTAAGATTATGAACACACCTGTTACCTTAGTTAATCAAACAATGACTGAGCTCATATCAAAATTCTTCCCTGAACAGGGATGGCTGTTCACTACAGTGAACACTTCATGTTTTGTATGTCACAGATCTCTGCTGTATATTTGGTTAAAAATGTTTAACAAGTGAGAAATTCGTTTATTTTCCTTTCCTAGCAGAACTTGCAATTTTCAGTCACTGAAAAACTCCAACATGGGATTACAGGTCTTTACAGCATTCCTGTGGAAAACTATTTTTGAGAAACTGGTATTCACCTGTTTTACTCTAATCTACATAAATGTTACATTGAAAAATTTCACTGCCTAATTCCTTGAATTTTAAGTACCTGAAACAAAAACGTTATGCATGACAGTGCTTTTAAGGAGTTGTGGATTCCATCAGTTCCACTACCACAATCCCCTGATTCCAGGACTGCACTTTTCTCGATCCAGCTCACATCAGCTTCCTACATGCCAGCAGCAGCAGGTAAGCTCTATATTCCTCCTCAAAGTGCAACCGCTGCTTTAAAGCCCTAATCATAATACCAGATACAGAACAAAGAACATTAACCTATACCCTAGTCCAGTGTCTTGCATACAGAACAGCAAGCCTCGATAAAGACTTCCTGCAATGTTGGATGAGGCTATCAAAATGATTATACCAAAGTCAGTCAATTAATTCTGAACTTCTTAACATTCAGGATTTCACATGTTCTCTGTATGTTTATTGCCACTGATAACTAGAGTACAGATTAAGAGTCTAAATCTGGTTTGAATAAATAATCATCTTCTGCAAAAGTCATGATTTTGAACAGACTTTCTTACTGCTATGAATCCATAAAAAACAACTACCAAATTAAAGCATGACTATAAACTCTTTTTTCTGATCTTAAACCTTTAATGAAGGCAGTTTTTCTGTTTAGTGGAGAAGATGTATGAGCCAACATTTGCATAGCAAGTATCCAAGAATATTTTCTAAATGTAGACTTCTATCACCTTTGTGCAATCCCATATGCAGTCCTACAGGGTTACAATGCACATACAGAATACCAAAAATACAAACAAATTTATTAATTCTCTGCTCTTTCGTATGGCAGAAAAAACTTACTCATAGTTCTTCACAAGTTGATAAAGACAAAGAAGAATTCCAAGCCAACAAGCACTGTTGTCAGACTGAAGATAAAATCCAATTTTCTCCACAACTGCAGTCCAGCGACTAGGATAATCGTGCTTGATAATATGGTGAATGCAAGTAGTAAGCTGTACTCTAGAAAACAAATGCACACGATTAAATAAGTTACTACTATTGTTTTAATAATTTTACAGTGGTGTTGAAGCAGCTAACATTGACCAAACTTAGACTAATTTCAAGTTTTGTTTAGAAGGTTTAAGTTCTGTTCTTTCTGCTTAATATTCTCAATATCCTCAATTAATATTTGAGGAACTTCAAATCTCTGCATGCCACACAAGCTGAAAACTATTTTTTCACTTTAATGCTTAGGATACATAGTGTATGACAATAATGCTTAGCATTCAGGTGATCTTAGCTGTGTAAAAACAAACCCCAGAAACCAGAGCCAATTCATGTACAGTTTATAACTGTATACCTTATCAGCTCAGGAGAGTGAATAATGGCTTCTACAATATTTTCACGAATACAATGTCTATCTTCTTCTGGGATGGAGTAAGGTGGAATCTCTCCTGGTGCAGTTTCACGATCTGGCCAGTACTGGGTTATCATATTTTTCAAGTAGATAACCCCTGTGAGACAGAAGTGGCAAATCAGCTGATAGCCATTCAAAGAACAAACACACATTTTGCAAAAAAATCTATTTTAGAACAAAACTGACTGAAAGGACTCACTCGTTGACCATTTCTGAGTAGGAGAATCAAAATACATAAACTACGCAAATTATTAACCTAATAATCTCCTAGTTGATACCCTTTTACCCATTTATTGTGATGTCTGTATTTTTAGTTCTGTAAAGCATGTGTTTTCATATAAAAATACTAACCCCGTTGCTTTTACCTGTGCTATAGATAAATAGTTGTGCAACATTTTAGCAACACACTTCTGAAAAATCCTTTGTAATCATTTTCTTGGTATTTTTATTACAACAAAGCTAATCAATACTAATGACAAACTATAAACATCCCTTGTAAGCAAAAATCCAAACAAAAAAAAATTCTAATTAAGTTTGTGATACCAGAGTGAATGCTAACAAGAAACAGAGCCCCTTTATACCAAGGTTATGGGCCACAGTACTTTGTAGCAACCAGGTTGCTGGCACAAATGCCTGCATTTACCATTTGACAACTGAATCCAAACTGCTTATGAGGCAAAACATAGATCACAGCCCTTGGAAAGAAAAGGACTTACAAAATGCAAAAGGAAACCTCAAATCACAAACTAATAACAAAGTTACTATTGACCTAATTCTATGTACAAATCCGTAAAGTAAATTCTCTTCCCAAATTTCATATGCGTGTTTTGAAGATTCAGAAACCAAAGTTTCTGAAGAGGTCTGCAAATGAAAGAAACACTCAGCAGATGTCAGCTATTACAAGACTGAAGTGATGCAGACTTCAATCTGTCTTCAGTGGGATTTATCATGCCATTAATTGCTTTGCAAAACACGCACTGTTTGTAAGCTATGTGTTGTTTGAGTTGTCTCCACTCTCTACAGACTGCTTTGGGTTTTAATTGGTTTACACTGAAGGCAGTAGATAAAAATGCAAGTTACACTTATGCTACAACTTTGAACAATCTAATATGCGGAAGATCCACATAAGTGATCTTTTGCCAAGAAAGGTTGGACAAGATGATCCTTGAGAACCCTTCCAACCTGGTATTATATGATTCTGTGAAGATCATACTTCCTGAAGTGTCAGAAAAAACACTGAAGTATCGTGTTAAAAACCTCTGCCAAGTAATCATAGCAGCTTTAAGATGATGTTTGGAGTTGCTAATATCCAATATCCAATTTTACTAATGGCTCACGTGCAAATGACAGGGTTCCAAATGACATAATTTGTTTTCTTCCACTTAAAACGTTTAGAAGCATTAGCCTTACTAGTACAAGGTTAAATTACCTCCTTGGACCAAGTGTACTAGTATTACAAACCACTCTGTTTCCCCAAAGACCAGTATTCACTAGAGATAAAGGGAAGCAATAACTGAAGAGCCTGCCACCTCTTCTTCCCATCTTCCCTATTCTGTGTATGGTGCAGATACAGTTCATGATGATTGCAATTCAAACAACTCCCAACTTCAGAGTATTTGAGATTAAAATCATTAAGATTCTTTAACAGTATCCTGGTGTGTATGCACCATTACAGTAGATACAATGAAAAAACAAAAGATTTGAAAACTTGCCTGCCTGTCTCACTGGTAAATCCAGTTGCTCAGACATAGTGATCTGAAGCAGAGTTGAAACAAAGTTCAATGACTTATGAGCCTGTAGAGACAGAGATAAAAAAGAAAATAATATTATTTAGTCATAGTTTGTTAAGTTTTAGAATACTCCTGCTGGGTTTTATAATATCTGTATCATGATGTAACGCAATCAGTAGAATACCAGCAACCCAGACAGTTTCACAGTAGTCAGCTAATCAACCAAAGCATTCCAAAATTTCATGCTTGTTATATTCTCAAGACAACATGAGGAAAAATCATCCTGTTTAAGGTAAGAGACTTGAAGGAATCATTAAACAGGCTTCAGAAATCAGCCTTTCACAGTCACCAAACATGTTCTTAAGTCAGAACGAATACTTGAAAGAATAATATCTAAATAGCCAGAAAACCCAAGCACAGCAAGTTTACAGTGACCTTTAACAAGGTATGAATTCATGATAAAATAATCTAAGAAACAGAGGGCAACTCTGTTTTAAAACTAAGCCCAGCCTTAAGCAAGCCTGTCCAACTCATAGCACATCTTTCTGGAAAAAAAAATAAAACAAAAAAAATAAAAGGAGCTTCAAGTGACTATTTATGCATTACTGCATCAACTGTTACCGTAACTATACACCATACTGTTACCTGTATAGTTATACAGCAAACTAATAGTATGGAGACCTAAATGGAGTGGTATTTGCAGAGTAACAACCCTGCAAGGATTTGCAAGAGTTCACTTACAAAGAAAGCAAAATCTGGTGCTTTTTTTCTTAAAATAATGAGAAATGTCATTGATACAGTAAATAATATATTGTCTTTTCACATGCAGAAACTAATCTTATCATTATTATAGCATCCTTTACCCACCTTCCTAAGCATTAAAAACTCAAAATGTTAAATGAATTTTGCTGAGGAAAGTAAATTGCAATCCTTAAAAAGAAACTCTACTTTTTATAACTGGAAAACACTTTTCCTCAAGGTCAGGATATGAGCTGCAGTGAGGGAAATTCCTCTTTTACAGAAGGAAAAAAATAAAAATAATCACAAGGACAGCCAAGGTCCAGCACAATCTGTGCACAGAGGCTGTGGGACCTCATCCTCCGAGACATTCAGAACTCAACTGGGCAAGCCCCGATCTACCTCACCTAGCTTCCAAACAGCTTTGCTTCAGGTGGCTGGACCAGATGATCTGCAAAGGTCCCTTCTAACTAATTACATCATGATTCAAAATGCGAAGATATATTTCTGCTTTATCTTCACTTACAATTTAATATTTTTATATGTTCTGTGCAGCACTTCCGTCAACAAGGACAACTGCATAGATCTACATAACTTTACATGTTAAACTCATAGGAAAACACCTCTTACCTACTTGTTCCCTAATTTATTACTCCTTACATAAAGCAAATAATATTTTGATAATCACTGAAATTACACTATCCATTTATCACAAATAAATGACTGTCTCAGTTACTGCAGCAAAGCAAATTAATATCATAAAAAGAAATAATCAGAAATTATCTATTCTTTTAGTAGGACTAAAAGCTCTTTGACAGTATGAAGTAATGCCAGCGTTACTCTTAAGTGTGTAACACTGCTCAGCTCACTCCTACAGCACCAGCCTCTTCTCTCCAACTTAAAAAACTCCTATACATTCTCGTACAAAACCAGTGTAAAACGGACAGCCTTGACCATGAGATTTGTTCGTGCATTGTACTAAGACTTGATCAGCATTGGTTGTTTTCTACTGCCTGTTATTTAAAACTGATTGTAAACATAGAATGAACTTGACTTAAGATCTTCCCAAAATATTAAAACATTGCTGTACATATTCATCCTGTGCATTAAAAATCTACAGGCTACAGAAAACCCACAGAAGCTCATGTTTATTTGTAGAGCACGTTTTGATGGATTGGGAGTAACTGACACTGCAATATGAGCAAGAATCTTTCTGACCCACATCCCTCTGATATGTCTAAAGTCCTGAAGAAGAAAATAAACTTTCAAATAAAAAAAATACTCGTTTCCAACTGTCAAGTAATGGTTGAATAAATACATTTAATTCACTTGTTGGTATTAATCTCTACTACAGCTGCAGTCTGTTAAGGTCCTTGTTTTCTTAACTAACATTAATAGACCGTCTGCCACACATACCAAATGACATCAGACCCTAATTCAGCACAGTAGTCAGTTATATGCCTAACATTAATGTCAGCGGAAGTACTCCTGTACTTAAGTGTGTTACTATGAACTTGCTGAAGAAAGCTTTCCGTTTCAATAACCTTTAACTCACCTATGATGAATAAGGTCACATTACACTCTGCATAAAGTGGACTTAAAAGAATATGATAAACTTAATGGCTGCCTTTTCTATAGTGAAAATTTGCAATGTATTTCATTATTTGAAATGGAAAAACATTTAATCCTGTAATTTTTAAAATTAAGGATTACCTTCCCTTTTTCACAATGAATGACAACTGTTTCATAAAAAAAATAAAAATTAATTTCAAAAGCAAAAAGCAACAAAAAGCAGACAGTGTACAAAACTGCCACACACTGCAATTGCATAAATACCAAAGAATAATCTTCACTAAAAAATTAGGACTGAGCCTATGCCTCCAGCAAGCTACAGAAGCTCCCTAGAAACGTCAACTATATTAGTATGTGGGATTGATATATTTTCACTGGACTCTTTGAACAATAACAAGTTTTAAAGGATAGGACCAAAACACCTATATTCATTCTCTTTTTTTAAATCTTGCAAGTATCATCCTAATTAACATAACAAGCATCAAACACCAACCACAAGGATGAGCTACTTTATCCCCTTTAGTGGTTCACTGCAGAAATTCACATCAGAAATCATTTAGGCTTTTAATAACAGTTAGCATAAGTAAAATACCTTGTACTTTCCAAACAAAGCCTCCTTTTAACCCGTTAAGTTCATAACTGAATTTACACAGAGCTATATTATCACTTCTATACATTCTTTATGGAATATAAAGGACTTCCAAACTCTTTACAATGATCGCCTTCCCATGTCACTTGAAGGAAAGTCGATTCCAGAGAAACTTAAATGGAAATGTGGGGATTGGGAGGGACAGCTACAAGGCGGCATGTGTGTAATGAATGCTCAAATAAAATGCCAGCTTCTACAATAGCCTATCACTTGCTCCCTTGCTTTGCTTGACTATTAAAAAGAACATTCAATGTTTTGCTGTCACCTGGAAAAAACATCTGAACTTAAAATAAGACACCACATAGGAGCTGATTTTGTATTTACAGCATTAAGAAATACTGAACACACATTCATTTCAGCTATTTTAATCATTAGTATTTTTACTCTCCAAAGATGGCTGCCTCTCGGGACATCATGCTCCTCTTCACTGACAGCACTGCTAAAAAAACCCAACCAAACAAAACACACCACACCTACTTTATGTATATATTTTATGCAAATTCTAGCTTTTGGGTTTAGTGCCTGTGATTAGCCAGAATAATCTGCTATACGAAAAGTGAGCTGCAAATGAAGATTTATTAGAGGTCTACCAGGGAACTCTGAATGTAGAGGACTCTGCTGCCCCTTGCATGCCCCAGTCTCCAAAAGAATTGGGTGTACTGATGCAACTTCAGTGCAAGTCACTGGCAAGTAGTGTCATTCTATGCAGAAGTCCCATGGCTCCAGGATGCAAGAATTAAAATCAGGATCTCACAATGGTTGCTATCACATCCTCTAACCTGCGTGAAGAACCAAAACAATTTCCATAACCTTAAAGTTTTGACATTTGTAAAACTTTGTCTTTTATTCTCTTGCTCCCCATTTACAAATACCCTTTCAAAATAAATATTAAGATTTAGAGAACTTACAATAACTTGAGGGAAAAAAAAAATAATATTCTGTCACAGCCAAAGTCTGTTTCCCAACATGTAACTCAACATTTACAAAAAACCAAAAAAAAAAAAAAAAAAAAAAAAAAAAAAAACCAAAAAAAAACACCCAGAAAAAGAAAAACCAAAACCAAAACTCCTCTCAAGTCCTTCCCCCTTTCAAATCCTCCAACATGCCGTGTCACTGGTATGACTTTGTTGTCTAAGAGCCAAAGAATTCAGGGACTGTTCCCAAGAGCAATCTTTGCTATGCAGCCTCACTAGCTGAGGAATGTATTCTATCAGACCACAAATGTTGCACCACTGTCTGTTAATATCAATCACTGTTACAGAACATACAATCATTTTGCATATTTCACTGCAGTTTTTCCTAGCAGAGTAGGTTTGTTAGTCATGTGCTAAAACAGTTTGGGGAAAGTGTCACACCAGCTATCTAATCTGAAATAGAAATCAAATTTGAAGTTAACTTTCAAAAGTCCAGTTTGTGGCATATGAACTATCAACAGTTAATTATGATACAGAAAAAGCACTTTTTCTCCAGTAATGATGCTGACTGAAATCAGTTACATTCATCTTTAATACCAGAATTATTCATATCTCACATAGCCTGCAGGCCACTAAACGAAAAAAACCCAAGAAGCTTCATCTGAGGGATGAAGAACTACATGCATTCTTCTTAGACATTAAGAATTTAACATCCTGTAACAGACACACTACTACAGGTACCTCCCTTATTGTTACCAAAAAAGCAAATCAGAAGAGTAACACTTACAGTATGTTGCTGAACTAGAACCCTAGGCTACTTATATAGTTATTCAAAGTAGCACATATTTAAATAAAGGCTACAATTTATTTCTGAAGGAGCTGAAAAAAAATATGAATTCAACACAATTCCCCCATTTCAATTTTGAAAAAAAATCTACAGTACGAGGTAACCACAAACATCACACCAAGATGAAACCATTTGCATTTTCTGTAGAAAGGTAAGGTCAGGAACCATAAGGCCGCTGAATCAGCCAACTGCTCTGTAGCACTCTTTCAATTCTTTTAAGAACTCAGCAGGTCTGGAAGTAATTCTGACCTCAAGTTTTTGCAGCTACAATGTATATATAAATCCAGTTTAAGGTCCACAGAAAACAGATACAAACTTATCAGATCTTGCAAATGTTCTTGATATT